GCAATCTAAGACTGGCATGTGCCAAAACATTCTATACAGTTGATCAAAGAAAAATTTATGACCTCCACTTTTTTCTCTTAGTCAGTAGCTACTGACACGCTAGTAGCAGCAATATAACACATATACTTATATGCTCGTGCATTACAACCATAGGCAGTTTCGATTTCAAAGAATACTCAGGTGCCCCAGTATGTAACTGGCATGCTCATTAACAAATATGTACACTATTTACCACGAACGCCATTGCTGGCATGCTTCTGCCATATAGTCAGTGCTGCTGTTTTGTCTGCCGAGTTCAGCTCTGCGATTGGTTCTTTCCTCAATTGTCGAAACTATGTTGCTTAGTCTAATGCGGTTATGGATGAAAGAGCCAAGAGGAGTGTAACAAACAGTCAGAAAAGCTCGATTCTCTTCGCGTATTTTGCCAGAGGCTGCGGTTATGTTCGTGTCATTGTCGTGGCTGCAATTTTGTTTGTGCGATGGTCATCTAACCCAGGCAATGCCATGGAGCAGCTGCGAAATCGGGCAAGCAGAAACATTTTTGCTCCAATCATATGCAAAGAAGCAGGTTGAGAAGCGACAAAAGAAGTGGCGACAGTACATTGTAACAGTGTGTATGTGTAGCATGTAAGTGTGGAGATATACGCTTAACTGACTCGTGTTTAGATTAGATTGGGCAATGTAGCCTTCCACAGGCATTCTGATCCCACATACACACATCGGATCATTGAAGCAGCTACATGTCCACTACGCAGTACGATCCCGACAGTAGAGAGATTTCACTTGTGTTTAGGCTTCCTAACATTTGCAAATACATGACCAATGGAGCCGTTGATGGCTCCGCAGCTGCAGAGCGAGTAGCAACATCTTGTGGCATTTTCTCCAACTACAATATAACCAGAGACCTACAAGCACAACATTGCAGCTAGCAACTCACTAAGTGACATTGTGTAAAACATCGGCAGTGAGATAATTATCAACTAACATTGCTCTTACTGTTTTCTTTTTTCGACAAGAACAGCAACGCGACTGACAACAAAAAAAAATGTTATAAATATGGTAATGCCATATGTAATGTGTGAATGCATGAAACTGACATAACTAGTGCAAAAAGTGTGCAAACAAAAAACCTAATGCAGTTTATATTATACTAGTACATTAGGTTTTCCTTTTTGTGTTTCTGAGTGGAAACACGGAAATGATAACTGTGCCACCTAACACATACGTAAAAATCAAACACACACACAAACACTTGTGTGAGAGTCTGGTTTTATGTGTGTGTGAGGTAGCACAGTTAAGATGCACCAACCTTCACAGCAACAAATTCTTCTATCCTAAGTAGAGCTGTGCAAATAACAAAACTTTGGGTGCAAGGCGAAATCGAATATTTTTTTTGAATGTTGAATGTTTCTCGATTATACTTCGAAGCAATATTGCAGAAAAAGACGTTCGAGAGTATTCCTAAATATATTCTTATAAGATGGCAACATGAAAGTGTCTCTTTTGGCTAGGTTGATGAAAAGCTGGTGGGTTGGTATTTCATAGTTATCAAGAATGAAGCAATGCAGAGACTGTATGGTACTGATGAACAAGATTTGGTCAAATCAAAGTGTTGCCAATAACACTTCACACGTGCAAGGCCAAGATGGCATTTCCTAAGCCTCTCCTCCTCTTTCAACATCTGTGAAAGCCCAACTGATCTGGCAGACAAGGGTGTGCTCTCTTCGAAGTGCGGAGTTTCAAATCTGCCTCATAGATGCCAATATATAAAAATATCTCAAACTTAGTATGCTGAAAATTTTCGGCTTCCAATTTTTTGCACTTTCTACCCCAATTTCAGATACAGAAGCATTAATTGAGCCCCACATCTGCCACATCTATCATCCTCCGTGTTGGAACCGCGTTTTCTTGAGTCAATACAATTGCAACCGTAGCGGAGCTTAAAAGGCACCTTGGCAGCAGTACGAAAGTGTAATGAAATAAAGCATATCAAAAATCTGAACGGCCCTCTTTTAATTTGACTGACGTTGACCGTATTAGTTTTTCGAATAGTCGAACGTAGCAAAGCCTGAAATACTGCTTTGCTGCACTACAAAAATGTGCGCGGGTGAAACATATAAAAAATTTGAAGGGATCATGTTCAATCGGATGTTGACTCTACATGTCTTCAGGGTTCAAACAGTAAAGTTCCAGTGTGAATCTAATCGAATAGCAAACACTATTCCAAAAATTTTGAGATTTCGAATATTCGCACACCTCTAATAGGAAGATACAAATGGAAAGTATCGCATCGAATACTATGATTGCACTATCTTGTGCTTGTATCTCAAATACTTGCCCGAGTACCTTGTATCGTATCACGATACAATTTCAAAGTATATATGCCCAGCACTGATTTCTAGAGATATGGATGAAAAAGTGCCCTTGTTCGCTTCATCCAGCAATGCTGAAAGCACGAAAATTGAGAATGGACAACTCTAGTCCTTTGTTTGGTGGCAATCATGTTAACCAGGCCTGTTTTAGCAAATTGTATAAGCAATGTGCCTACCTGTGCCAGTTTCTTTAAGCATATGTCTCAATTTTCTGAGCTTCGCACTTCATGATCTGTGCCTAGATTGGGCAAACCAATGCATGTAGCTACACATATATATATTTTTTTTCGCCTGTGGGTCCTGGATCATTTACAGGAGATTTTTCTTGTAGGCAGAGAGGTGCTACTGAGATTTCTATTTTGGTTCGAAAGCTTTCTCTGTGTATTAAATGTTTTATGAGCGTATAATTAGACACGTTTACCATAATTTTGCATTGGCAATCCACTGCGATGTAATAGAACAGATAAACAGACAGAAACAACAAATTGTCTATGTTAATTGCCTGCTGCACTATGAAAAAACTGCCAGCAGGAATTTGTGAAACTCACACTGGAATTAGCAGTGACTGGTTGTAGTGGACCAGTGTCGGCCTCGCTTCTCAGTCAGGCCTGCGGGGACTGTTGTCAGAAGAGGAAGACTGATGACACATTGTCTGAGGATGTGGACCGGAACTCCATTGAGCAGCACCGGCGCCAGGGCCATTGGCTCTCCTTCCTTGCGGTGGCCACCATGCCTTGGGCGCCGCACTGGCTCTGAAGGGAAGCACCTGAGCCAGAGTCAGGATTAAGGCTTTTGACTCCTTCAATGTAGCAACAGTCCACAGGCAAAAATTTATAGCAATGTTTAGATTGTCAGAGAAACATTTTGAGTAATGAAACAATTAGGAGTGTTACGGTTGGCACCTAAACCAGAGATGAATAAGCAGCATGGTAGTTCTTTTTGAATGATCTACAAAAAACAGATAAGCTTGGTTACTAAGCTGAAGTGAGCCAGAGATGGGGACACACTAACGACATGCTCTGTAACTTTTGTTACAGTAACTTTTAGGTAGAAAAGATCAGTCCCCACACATGCGAGATACTGATGGCCTCAGCAATGATGCAGTGTTCCTACCACAACAAAAAAGATGCCAATCGGCTCTGTCGTGTGCTCGAGTATTGACAAGTGTGATATCGTATAAGAACTAGTCATGCGACTATGAATCTCGTAACAGCATGTAACTACCGTATTTACTCGCGTAATTCTCACACTGACATAATTCTCACCCTCCCCTCCCCAACCCAACAAAAATACGATTTTTTTTCCTTGAGTAAGTATAGCATCCTCGAAAATTGTCTCAATAATATCGTCCGCTCGTTCCAGCCGTTGATGATGATAGGGTGCACCATCTGGCGCCATCTCTTATGCATCAAGCATACTATTATTGCACAAAGATTCAATTCAATCCATGCCAAGCCAGAGCAGCAAGTGCGCGTTGCGGCGTGTTTTGTATGTTGTGTCGGTAATCTTGTCACGTTATGGGGCAATACTGTAGCTACACGGCTGCTTTCAAGTTGAAAGTGATTGATCATGCACTGAACAATGACAACAGGGCCGCGGGTAGGCCCTTCGGAGTTGACGAGTTTTGTGTTCGCTACAGGTGACGGCAGCTGTAATGTCAAGTCACATGACTAAAAATAATGTAACATCACATAACAACTAGCTGCGTGACTAAAATCACGTACATAATATGTAACAACTACTCATGTGGCATGTTCCCACACAACCACATAACAGTTAGTCCCGTGACATGCTCCTGACAAAACCATGTAACACATGCGTAGTGTGGGGAACCTACTGAAACTGAGAAGTCATACTTATTAGCCATACTAGTAAGTCATACTAGCCATATTTACTAGTGCTAACAACTTAACATCTTTGGCAAAAGCTTGGATTACTAGCAAAAACATGGAAGAAGATAGGTTCTGCTCTCCTTTCCAGCCTCACACCACTAGGACAAGCTGCGTGCATCTGTTGCTTTTTTTGTAGTTGTTCACTTCTTTGCACTGGTTGTTTCAGGATGCGACAGAGCCACTACGGCACTTCCAAGGCCTGGAACAGAGGTGGTACGATACCTTGTCTTTTTTGAGGGCGTCATATTGAGTAGTACACTAGAGGGCCCACTGTAGATGGAATCAACTGCACAAGAGCTCTTAAGTGGGCTAGCTGGAATGCCTCATCTTTCTCACATGTTCATTCTTCAGTACTGTTCTGCCATAAAATACAAGGAGGCCTCCTACTTTTACAATTCCTTTAGCTGCTTGTCTGACTTGCCACTGGGTAGCCTCATTGCTACCTTGCTTTTTAAGTGCAGCAAAAGCATGCTAAAGCTGTAAGAAGTATGACTCTATTTTGTTTTACTGCCATCTGTGAGGCCGGCAACAGCAGCAGTTTCAAATAGATGCTTAGTGCTATGCATAAAGGAGCCTACATATGGCCATTCAGCATTAGAGGTATGCCTGCCAGAGAAAACGAGCACTGCAGAACGCAGAGATATGTGTGGAAGCAGCTTCATCAACACAATACATGACGGAATTTTGTATTGAAGGAAATCACGGATAATCCAACCATCAGCAAACAACTCCTAACCTTGACGCCTGCGTGGATGCTGCGCTTAACGGCGACTGCGCCGAGAGGTGCAGCAGGGGGATTCTCGGAAATTGGGGATTGTGGTAATGGGTGGTTCTGGTAAATGGCCTTGTCGGCCGCCGACGCTTGCTTGCTCGCCAAACCCTGCCCTCTTGTGGCAGGAATCGGAACTGAAGGGTTGCCACTGCTGCTGGAACCACGAGGTGTCGGTGCTGGTTGTTGCTGAACATTAGAAGATGCTGAGGTACTGCTACTGCTCCCCTGCAAGTGGTGAAAATTGAAAGTATACTGTAACATTGGTACATGGCACTACTTTAAAATATTTTTTGCTATTTATTAGAGTAGCATTTGATGCTGCCACATGTGCACAAGCATCACAGACTGAGCAAACCAATGTTAATTGCACAAAGCACACCTATGTTTGATAAATAAATTACTAAGATGACACAAAGTTCATAAAGAGAAGTCTGTGCCAAAGTCACTACTAAGCACTATTATTTTTACCACCTACCCACCAACTATGTGAATAATGGATGCTGCTAATCATTTAGCAATGAGTTGAATTTTAGTGATCGAAGCATAAGATAACAAGCTAGAGTGTACACCATTTTTTGTGGCACTGCTGTTACAACTTTTCAAAAAGTCATGTGATTAGTTAAAGATATTCTAATGCAGTAGCTAATATGACCTTTAGTAGACCCCAGAGACACAGCAACGTGACTACACCCAAATCACAGATCACTGTCAAGGCGAGTCCCTACAACCAATGATGAAGAAGAATGCCGCACAATGAACATGTATGAAGAACAAAGATGCGCCATGTAAATGCCCACATTAATTTCTTTTCACAAAAAGTTGCCATCCTAGCCAAAGTTTAAGGCAAAAAAAAAAGTCTCGTGAAAAACTGCATTTGAGATACATGAAAATTCTTAGCAGCATGGCAGTGATGGCCCGTCGCAAGAAGACCATGTGCCACACAACAACTTATAAGAGATGTCTGCTCCAAAACTGTGTGGGCGCCAACGAAGTAGAATTGAAACTTGTTGTACAATGTCAGTAACATTGTCCATTACATACTTTATTCATTTCTCTAATGTTGGGTTACTTCCTATCATAAAAGACAAAGTATTCTAGAAATTCCAGTATAAAATAGGTTTCCTTTCCCACTAACTCATATAACTTCATAGTTGATCCCCAAGCTGCAACGTGGAACTGCGAATTGTTCGTTCAACTCATCGTTTTGAGTGTGTGCGTGAGGTGCATATATCACACCATATGCATATGCACATTGGCGTCTGTGTGCGTGCATGTATGTATGTATGTACTCTGCTCATTTCTATTTATGTCTCTCTCTATTGAAGGCTTGCGTCCCCTTTCTCCTCTTCCCTTGCTGCGTCCTTTTTGGCTCTCTATTTTTCTGTTGTACTTTCTTTGACTCTCTCTCTTTCTGTTTTTGTTTAATTTTGCCAAATTTCTCTCTTTCTGTTTTACTCCACTATGCTAGACTGGCTTCTACAACTTTCCCTCCTCTTCACCCTCACTTCCCTTTGCCGAACCCCTTGGCATAACATACTACAAAAGGCTACACTATGATCTGCTAGTGTCCCTGGACAGCTCTGTGGTTACGACGCTCGCCTACGGGTTACGAGCACGCCAGTTCAAATCTAGCCTCGCCAAGACGCTCTTTGGCAAGAAGCTTTCTGTTTTTCTTTTTTCCCTCTCTCTGTACTCGTTCACTTGCCCATCAGGGTTATCCAGGCCATATTAGACCAATCGGCACACATTCTCTGGGAGCGAATGCAGAAGAGGATGAGGAGAGTGCGTGCCAGTTCACGGTCTTAATAATTTTTTCTCACCTGTCACGAACCAATGATCTGCTTATACAGCTCCGCTGTTCAAAACCAGCAGCTGCCCGGTAGCACAGGAGTTCAAACCAAGTGTTGAGTTGGACACCACTAGAAGTACGCACTGACCGCTAGTCTCTTCCTTCTTTTTTCTTGCAGTCACCATTCATCCTTGCTTGAATTGCTGCTCACCGCTTTGCTGCAGCCTCACGCAACAGTGGTGAGCTTTGAGCATTTCTTTTTTTTTCCCCCGTCTCATTTAGGATGCTGCTAAATATGCATAAATTTTGGCTACACTGTAAGAACAGTATTCACCATTTTGTGTAGTTTAAATCCCACAACAACTGTCGTTTGGCCTGCTTGCTTACTTCCCTTATCGAAAATGGCATGTCATGTTGATAGCACGCACGCATGCATGCGGTTTGCAATATCGAAGTATAGCACCCGGTGCGAAGTGATAGCGTACGGAAATGTGCGAGAAATTCGTGAAGGCTATTCTTGTAGGATGGAAGAACGCCCAACTACATTCCCCCATTCTTTTCAGAGGACAAAAAAGATTGGCGCTCTTGAGCAGGCACAATCAAAGCATATGCTAGACTCCAACGAGACAAGAATGCGAGCTCATGACGTTTTGAGCGAGATCGTGGCTTCATCATAATGAGGATGCTCACTTGGTGCTCAGAGTGAAAGCAGTGAAGGGGTGGTTTGATAAGTGTGTTCGCTTTGACTTCATGGCAAAAAAAAGCAAGGCTAGTAGCTTCATAAGAAAAAATTCGCATAACGTTCATCTGACGGTGAGCCGTAGATGCCACATATCCTTAGTGGGCATTTGCTTAGGCAAGATGGTACACTGTTTCTGAACTCAGTTTCAACTTTTGAAAAAGAAAAAAAATTTGGAATTCATTATAACTCATAAATTAATAACTTGTACCTAATAAATAAGCACCTGGTGATGTTCATTACGTCTGGGCCACTTAAGTAGTAGCCCCTTTAATCAGAAGCTTTAGTTGATGAAGTGTAAGCTACTGTTCGTACTGTAAGCTAAGACGTATCCAGTATGGAAGTACAAGGAATTATAAAAAAATACTGCTGACACCATTTCAGGAGGGGTCAACTAAATCTGTGCGGGGCCAGCTGCCTTAACTTTTGTGATTTCATTTATCTTGAAAATCCACTTATAACAAATTTTTTTTCCAGTATTTACAGGTAAGAGATTACAGAGTTTATTGGAGTCAAATTAGTCCAGAAGACAATGCGAACTCTCAGTGAAATTTACGTGCAACAGGATCATCATGCACAGCTGTTTCAAAGGTCATGATCAAGACTGGTTATGCAAAGAAGCAGCCTGATGTAGAAAATGATGGTAGAAATTTATGACTAGTTAGAATAACTTAGTTTACAATGAAGCCTTGACGCCTTTTTTTTTCTTCACTACGTCCAATTGAATTGCGTTTTGGGACATAAATCAGACTCAAGGGGCCCTTTTGGATCGAGAGAATCGAAATAAATGGTCGATTCAGTGAAGAGACTGCCCTACCTATTAGACTTTGAATGACAGATACTGGGCGAGTCGGATTTAGTATGATACTTAGAAGTGAAAACAAAAAGAACAAGTATAACACAGGAAAGGAAAACCAGACAGTATGAGCGCTCCCTTTAGGCTAGTGTTTACTTTCAGAAATTCACCAGAAGACAATGCGAACTCTCATTGAAATTTACTTGCAACAGGATCATCATGCTCAGCTGTTTCAAAGGTCAAGATCAGGACTGGTTATGCAAAGAAGCAGCCTGATGTAGAAAATGATGGTAGAAATTTATGACTAGTTAGAATAACTTACCGTAATTACTCGAACCTAACGTGCACCTTTTTTCCGGTTAAGCGAGTTCATAAATCGCATGCGTGTTAGAATCGAGTACGAACAAAAAAATTACGGTCAATCTATTGCCATCAGCAAATCCAAAATGGCCGCCCCCTACGTGCGTCGGCATGGCGCGTCGGCCATTTCTGCCTATGTGTTTCCCATGTGCGGCACTTCGTACGTGTGCTGAGAAGTTCGTCATCTAGTAGTGCATTAGCATCGACGGCGTGAAAGGGCCGACTCCGAAAACTCGAGTGCACCACGATGCCGCTTTTAAAAGAAAAGTCATCGCGTGTGCAGAAACGGACGGAAATCGGGCCGCATCGCGGTCGTTTGGAGTTCCCGAAACGTGCGTGCGGGACCGGCGGAAACAAAAGCAGAATATTGTCGACAGCAAAGCCTCACGCAAAGGCTTCAGTGGACCACAGCAGGGTCGGTTTCCGCAAATTAAAGAGCTGCTCGGCGAGTATGTGCTTGAGCAGCGAGCGGCACAGCGGCCCGTGACGACAGAACTGCTCTAAGGGCGGGCTATGCAATTAGTCTTAGAAAAAGGTCTAATGCGGAGCCAGTTTAAAGCGAGCAGGTGCTGGCTAACTAACTTTATGAAGAGGAAAGGCTTTTCCCTCTGAAGGGGAACATGCATATGCGAAAAGTTTGGCGGAAGAGTACGATGAAAAGCTTCACAGTTTTCAGAGGTTCGTCCTAAACTTGCGGCGCAACAACGGCTACCTGCTTGGGCAAATCGCGAATGCCGATCAGACGCCTCTTTACTTCGACATGCCTGGCACCACAACCGTCGAGAAGAAGGGGGCGAAGCAAGTTCGCGTGCTGACATCGGTCCACGGTAAAACTACAGTGACGGCAATGCTCTGTTACACATCAGATGGGCACAAGCTTCGCCCGTACCTCATATTTAAATGGAAGACGCTCCCGAAAGGAGTCGTTTTTTCGAGTGGTGTGATCGTGCGGACCAACGAGAAAAATGGGTGCGCGTTGCAACCGATGTCTTACGTTTTTTTTTTTTTTTTCGCGGTGGAAATCGAGTGCGCGTTACAATCGAGGGCGCGGTAGAATCGAGTAAATACGGTAGTTTACAATGAAGTCATTGCGCCTTTTTCTTGTTCTTTACTACATCCAATGGAATTGCATTTTGGGACACCAAAAGGTTTCCGAAAATAAAATTTAGTTTTAAGTCAGCACTCGTCCTGTATGGTTCTCCTTTCATATGTTGCCTGTGTCTTTTTTGGGCTTCTAAGTATCATCATGGATGCTCTCCTACATACTTGATGCGGTGGTGGCTTTGGGCCACAGGCATCCTGCAGTGAAGGCTGCCTCGTGATGCCCCCCTTGCGACCTGGCGTGACTGTCACTCCCGAAGACGAGGATGACGACGGCACCGGGTAGAGTGGCCCTGCACGCGGCTGCTGCTGCTGCAGCCCAGAAAGGAGTACTGGGCTTTGGGCCATGCGGTCCAAGTCCTGGTCCGGGTCTCGCTGCTTGACGCGAGAGTCGAACGCCGTTTCGTAGATATGCCTCTGGCGGGCCATCTCGTCGGCAGACAGCACGCCCCCCGCAGAAGCGGGCGTGGCGGCGTGTGCCGGAGTGGGGCTCTTGTTGTTGCGCTGCTCTTCGGCCCTCAGTAGCCGCAAAGCCACGGCGGCTGGGCCCGTGTCCCAAGGGTCGCAGTACTGCACGTCGCCCGCGTCGTCGCCGCATGCCTCTGCTGCCGACGCCGCTGCTGATGCTGCTAAAACCAACATGAGCAAATTACACTTCGTACTGAACATTATCTGGTGTTAAAGACAGCTTCTGTTCACCAGGTGTAGACACAGCTGGGCAAGTTGGTGCAAATTCATAATGAAAAAAAAAAGCTCGAAATAAACCCTTATACAGTGAAATGATGTGTCATAAAGCACTGGAAGGCAGATGGTATGTGCTATACGTCTGCGTAAAATAAGGTCCTAGGAAAAAAGCTTGGAACACTGAACAAGAGCTTTATTTAAACAGCTATTACTGTACACACACACCTAAAAAGTCCTAAATCCTATAATGTCTCCGAATGCAAGCATGCATCACATGTTTTTTCAACTGTTGTTTTTTAAGTGAAGTTCGTTGTCTTCATTGCCGACATTGTTGGTGTTCCATAAGTTCAGAATCTCGAGACAAACAATGATATTAGGTAGTCGTTTTTGCGAACATTCCAAGAAAAAGCATGGTTTATCCTTCCTTCAAGTGAATCGGAAAACCACTAAAGTAAAACGTTTTGTTACATAACTAGCTTAATGTTTACTGTACATTTGTGAGAAGCTTATACAATGTCTGTTGTATTTGACAGTTGGAACGCTGTTCAACGTCGATGTATTCACATTGACGCTTAGGGATGCATCTGCATCCCGACGAATGACGTTGATGATTAATTATAAACATGCCCTTGTGGTCATAGATGCCTGTGGTAGCTGTAGCAGTTAACAGTCAGAGGAAAACCAAAGAAAGTGATGTGCTAGCCAGAAGAGCGTGACTGATTGTGCACCAAACTTGGGCTAAGGTAGCCTACTCAGCACATTTGGAGCTCTTGAATGCCACTGCCCAATTAGAGAAAAACCCAACGCATTGTGTCTTGTCTGTTGACCAACCGTGACTTTTTACGTGGTGAGGGTAAGTGGAGAGCGCTTGTTGAAGAACACTTTTTGGTATGAATAGATGTTTTACAAGTGACGCCGGCACTTTGAGTAAGGTCACCACCTGGATGTGTGTAAAGGCATTGACGAAATTGCACTTATCGTACTAGAAACTCACCGATAGGATAGACATGCAGAAACGATGCATTCAAGAAAATAATCATGGATGTCAAGGGTCATGATGCATTACTTCAGTTTACCAAGAGCACTGTGAGAAAACAGTAGTAGATATCAAATGTGTGTTTTAAAACCCTACAAAGTGTGTGATAGTAGCATAGTGGAATAGCGTACCCGGTATCTGTTGTCGCGGACAGAGAGGTCGTGGCTTGGACTCACGTTGACAGAACTATTTTGTTGCATTTTTTATTTTACGTATATTTTCGATGTTACTTCCATGACAAAAATACGTCACTGAAACCTTGGTGGACTCCAGCATAAAATAATTTCATGTTAGAAGAAATATGTAATGCAAGTCAGTGATGTTCCTTCACTTGTAATTTTTTCCTTACTGCCCAATAGAAACGGTGGACTTGTATATACAATTGATGTCCAAAGTCGACAATCTACATTTAAGCCATTCATAGCTGGACTTAGCGTTTATGGCATCCATGGGAATTCGATATATAGTAAGGTATCTGAACACCATGACAGGGAGTCAACACCAGCGTTCGACACTGCAAGAAATGTGCATGCCAGCTGAATGTGCCTTTCTCACCAGCTTCATCCGCTGTCTTGGAGGCCTTGCTGCCGGGTTCGCTATGAGCGGCGGAGGTTGCCGAAGCGGAGCTTGAACCGGAAGCCTGCGACTGATGCGGTGGTGGCTGAGGACTTGACTTGCTGCCACTGCTGCTGAGCCGCTGGTTTTCGGCAGCGTTCTTCGATGACGACGAGCCGCAGCTGACGCTCGGTGATGTAGGAGCCGCTGCATAGAGGAGAAAGTACATTGAACCCCAGAGACAAGGAAAACAGCTTGCATTATTACACAGATGTCTATTAGGTTAATGACATTACACTAATATCCAATTCATGTTTATCTCTCCATAGGCCAGTTGATGAAGACGAAAACATTAAAGCATGAAGAGTTAATCCATTTAATTGTTGGCACTGCTAACCTCTGCTACCATAGGTGTTGAGTGCTTGAAAAATCGTCTTTGAAAAAGCATCGGGAAGCTTGCACTAATTCAAACAAAGCCTGACACAGCAAAGCACAGGCACATCTTCGCTTACTGAGCAATCTGTTTCTCTATATTTCTGACATACTGTGATGCCATCATGCGGACGCATCCCTGTGACGTACATGTTGGATTGCTCCACCAGCCTTCTCGTGCGCAGCCACTTTCGCATTTCCTTTTTTAATTATTGTTTTTCTTGTTGTACTTCATGAAATCATAACAATACTGCTGCAGCTTCTTCATTGACTGTGCGATGTGTTAAATGACTGCTTCAGAAAAGTTTTATGCTTCTCATAATGCCCGACTGCCAGCGTCGTCTGCTATGGCCACCTATATGAAAACCACGGGGGCTGAGCTTTGCCGCTTTTGTAAAAAATAACGACTGATTCCATGTCGAATTGAAGCATCCAATGGGTATTAACGCATGCTTGCAACAAAGAGACTTATTTTTGCTGAAAGGAATGCGTGCAACCATGCCATTTATTGTAGGTTTGCATCTAAAGATAGGCCGAGGTTAACACGACAAGCATGTGCAAGTTTGCATTTTTGTTTAGCGCACATAGCCTTACGAAGCACAGCGCAAGCAGATTACCCATTTTGTGGGAAGCAGCACAGCATTTTCACAGCTGCATGCAGCCGCAAACTTTCTGTCATGATTGCAGGCCAACGCGAGAGCATCATGCACGTGCGTGCCTCATTCAGATTTGTAACTAGGTAAAATTCCACACGAGAAAAAGTTTCTCTGCGGCACGGTTTTAAATTTATTGCAGAAACTTTGTACGGCTGTCACACAGTCCACATTCGATCACCATCGAGCTACACATGGGTGAAAATTATGATTGACTGGCTTACCTCACCAGATTTTGCAAAGAGGTAAATCGCGATAAAAAATGTGATCCTGACCGGGCTCGATTATCATGGCAAATACGCTGTGCAGCAGCTGTATCATTTTGCACCCTTGAATGAGCATGCTGCGAGTATATCTTGCATACCGTGATCTAAACGGCAATTTCATGTTTCAGTGAAAATACCAGCGTCGAGTTTTAAATGCGAATGCATTTCTTAGTCGGGGCATGTCAGGCGTCTGCCGGTGCGGCGCACGCCGGCAGGTGTTATCTCTCCGCTCTCACTCCCTCTACTATAGCAACAGCTTCGGGCGCGCACGCTTATCCTCACCCCTAGCAACCGGAGCAGCTGGTGCGGGCGGAGTAGCGGAGAGGAGTAGTAGTGGAGTAGTGGAGAGGAGGAGCGCGCACTATAGCATCACGGGAGCTTGGTGGAGCTCCCGCAGGTGTGGAGAGAGTGTAGAAGAGGGTAGGTGCAGTGCTTCGCAGCTCCTTCTTTCGCCGTTTTTTCTCTCTCCTCCCTGCACCCCACTCTCCCGTCCACTCGCACGTACGTATTTATAAATGAACTAAAGCGCACGCCTCAATCTCAACCATTCGCTGGCTGATGAATGTGTGAATAAATGGTTACGATACAAATCCATGTCTCACCATTCTTTTACGCCATTAGAATTTACGCCGTGTCCTCTAGGCGCAATGCATGCATTCGCATTTCTTCACGATTCTCTTCGAGGCGCTGGGGGCAATTTTTTTACAGCTTCATTCATAAGCTGTGTGACATTTCACGGCAGCTATTAGAACAAGAATCAGTTTTCGAAGCTGACCGCGTTTCTGTCTGTAGATCAAAACAACTTTAACCCTTTCAGCCCTGAATTTTTTATTTTGGTCAGATACACTTTTTGCGCACGTTTTTCTCATAGTTAGGACCTCAGAAGACTACAAGCAAAATATTGAGCCACTGGTACAAGCATTTTCGGATTAATTGTACACACGAAATGGAAGCCGACGTTTTACTTTTCAGCCTAATACTCACTGAAACAGCTTCGGTACGTCGTCCCGAAAATGGCGCTTACCCGCCTCAGTTTACGCGCCTCGGTTTCACGGAAGACCTCGGTCACGCCTCTTCTTCTTTGTGGCTGCTACCTCCAACAACATGCCGCAATATTAGTGTCAATTGCAGTGGGGATCATTGAAGAACTATGCCCCCAAGAATGAGCTGTATTGGTTACGTTTCCGAGATGCTAGAAGAAAATTTGTGCGGTGGTGTCAATTGACACCGCCAGGGCCTAAAGGGTTAAGAAGCAGTGACAGTAGCTGTGGGCTCATTCTACAGACGTATAAGGAAGGAACCACGTGAGCTGAAGTCGCGGACGGCAGGGGCGTAGGCAGAAACATTTTCCCGAAGGGGTATCACCTTGATTAGAATTGCTGGGCCGGTAGGCAGCTGGGGTCGACTGTTATTTTGTGTGCAATTCCAAGGAAAAAAATTTCGAGGGGGGGGGGGGCACGAGTTTGGTGGGCCAACTCCTGGTTACACCCCTGGCGGACGGGAACCCGTGTGGTCGCGTGCACACATGAGGACAGATACACCCAGGGAAGTGAGGGGGGTGGGGGGTGGCAAAGACTGTGGTAAAAGCTAACTTGGCGAGAAAAGTAGCTTTAGCAAACTGGAACGGCACATGTATGATGTAAAAACGAAGGTTTCGTCGAACGCGTTGACCGAACACGCAGAAGCAACTGGCTACGAAATAGGCCGAAATGGGGTTAAACTATCAAAAATTAAGGGAAAAAAACTGGACTTCCGACTTTTATCTTGACTCTCTGTCAGTGCAGACGAAGGCGCACATTCTTAAATGTAATGACGGCAACTCCCCTCACATGTACGCACGTACGTCGTATTTTATTATATACATAATCGGACTATCCGCACATACATTTTTCCTTTGCGAACGAGGTTCCCATGTGGTAACTGAAACATTCTGTTTTTATGTGAAAAATCATAGTCGGTACTAATTTAACCCCATGCACTTGAATTAACAACCACATCAGTATAGAAAGAGAGATGTGACGGTGGCACTGCCGGCGGCCGTGGCAGTGCACATCGCACACTTAGCGCGCTGTGGCGCGCCGCTGATAACCCTTACTGCAACTTTCCGGATTGTTTGGTCTGTAGAAGTCCGCACTTATGAAGTGAGAGCACAACGACTCTGTTGAAAAGTGAAAGTTAGAAACAACGCATCCAACCGCCAGCTTTCCTTCGCCAGAGCGAGACAATATCACGTGATCTAACCCTCCACGTCACCGCGATTGCAGCGCCCGCTCCTCCGGTGGTGGGCCTCGCGCCCAATACAGAGCAGAGTGGCTCTCTGGTTCTCTTTAGATTTCTCTATCTTTCTTCATCTATTTATTTTCCCTCTTTTCTATTTTTTTTCTTATTCCTATTCCTTTCTTCGTCGGCTCTTTTTCATTACATTCATATTCCTTTTTCTTTTTCTTCCCATATTTCTGTCTCTTTCCATTATGTATCACTCTCTTTGAATTTCCCGCTTGCTTCTTGTTTCCTTCTACGCTTCTCTTTCTTATTTCTTTCTCTTGTTTATTTTCTGTATTACTGTCTTTTTGTCTCTTTCTACGTTTCTTTCTCGCACTGTATATGATATGCTTTACTATCTCCCTTCTTTTTATCCTCCTCATCCTCTCATCTCTCCACCTCAGCCTCACCGTCTTACACACCCTCTTGGTTTATTGCACTATAAAATGCTGTCTATCACTCTGCTAACTTAGTAGTAGTAGTAGTAGTAGTAGTAGTAGTAGTAGTAGTAGTAGTAGTAGTAGTAGTAGTAGTAGTAGTAGTAGTAGAGCCTATAATATATGAATGGCGCATACCAACGCTGAGGAATCGACTAAAACCAGGTAGCTCTAACGAAATACTTTATTTTGTTAGCTTACGTCTTTTAAAATAATGATAGCAAAGAAGGAAAAAATTGTTAAATACTAGAAAGTGGCAAATAAAAACAGCGGATATAGAAAATGAAGCAGATAATTTCAACAACAACAACAACAACAAATAAATAAATAAATAAATTAATCAATTTGGAAACCTGAAGTTTAGAAGTGATGATTGGTTCTACAGCTCGACTCTCTTTGAACATTCAATAAATTCCTGTAATGCGTGGGCAACTGTCCCATCACTGTATTCTATAGGAACAAAGGCCCCCCCCCCCCAAAAAAAAAGTATTTTAGGTGTGTTTAACTCCAATATTAGAAGAGGGCGTATTAATATTATTAAAATAATAATAATAATAATAATAATATTATTATTATTATTATTATTATTATTATTATTATTATTATTATTATTATTATTATTATTATTATTATTATTATTATTATTATTATTATTAGAATAATATTAGAAGAGGGCGTAGAAGAAGCGGCGTATCTTTTACAAGACATTAGATTATGGTCTGTTTTCTCACGGACTCCACAAAACCAACAATTAGGGAAAGCAGCCAGACAGGCTCTGTGTAAATAAAAATTGAGATAAGGAGTTTGACACCGCAGCCCAGTGATTTCGACGTCGATCTGCTAACGTGCGTCGACAGCCGAGGGTACACGATGCTCGTCTTCGGATCGTGTGTGCGCGGATTCAAAGCCAGCCTCATCAGGATGATTTCTCACTGTGAATTTTTCTCTTTTCGTTTCCGCCATTACATTTCTTTCTCTCTCTCTCTTTCTGTATTCATTCTCTTGCCCATCCGAACTACTGTACACCACTAAAGTGGAATGCCGGGCCAGTTGCAGTACAACATAATGTGGGAATATTTATTTTCTAATAAAAGTTCAGTTGTAAGTGAGCGTCTCTCCTGTCAAGTGCTTTTCCTTCTACCTTGTGCCCTCATATT